CAACCTGAACTGCATATCAACAGGAGAGCCAACATATTGACCAACTGATTTAACTAAATCACCAGACCTATTAGAGTTTGCAATCACAAAAGGCATCTCCGGCATCTACAGCTCTATAGAAACTAACCTAGACATGTCATCAGACCACAGTCCGATCATAATAACACTAAATAATCACGTAAGCTGGAAGGAACTACCACCACAACTTTCTAATAGGGATACCAACTGGACACAATTCCAAGACTACATCAACGACAACATTGCCCCAAATCTCCGGCTAAAAGAAAACCAAGATCTTGAAGACGCAGTGGACTACATAACCAAACTAATACAAACAGCTGCATGGATATCCACACCAGAAAGGAAAAAGACAACTCAGGAAGCTCATAACGTTCAACTACACAACAGGGAATTAGTCTACAAAAACGCCAAGCAAGACGCAGGTGGCAAAATAGCAGAAACCCACTAGACAAAACAGAACTCAACAAGCTAACTCACAATCTACGATCAGCCATAAAACAAGTCAAATACGAAATGTTCAAAACTTATATTACAAACTTATCACCAGGCGACCACTCACTATGGAAAGCCACAAAGAAATTTAAAAGACCAACACTTGCAATACCACAGATTAGAAAACAAAACAGAAGCTGGGCACGGACAAATAAAGAGAAAGCAAATTTATTCGCTGAGTACCTTGCAACAGTCTTTACACCAAACAACGAAAATAACAACACGGAGGACGAAGGCGAAATCTTCCTAAACTCTCCCTGTCAGCTATCGCCACCGATAAGAGCCTTTTCACCAACAGAGGTCAGCAGTTTAATAAACCTGCTCAACCCTCATAAGGCACCCGGATACGCTCTCATAACAGGCGCTCTACTAAAGAATCTCCCACAAAAGGCCATCGTACTGCTAACAACTGTTTACAGCAGCATGATGCGACTATGCTACTTTCCTGTGCAATGGAAGTACGCCCAAATCATAATGATACCAAAACCCGGAAAACCGCCACCCGAAATCAGTTCGTACAGACCGATATGCTTACTGCCCACACTGTCCAAAGTATTCGAAAGACTCATCCTTAAAAACTTGTAGAAACAACATCTACTAATGACATAATCCCTACACACCAATTTGGCTTCCGAGCAAATCACTCCACAATCCAACAGTGCCACAGAATCGTTAACAAAATAAAAGAAAGCAACTAAGGAAAGAAAACATGTACCTCGGTCTTTCTCGACGTTCAACAGGCTTTTGACAAAGTATGGCACAAAGGATTACTGTATAAACTAAAAATGAACCTATACGCACAATTATATCTTACCATAAAATCGTACTTGAACGAACGCTACTATAAAGTCAAAATCGACGATGAATTATCCGAATACCATATAATAAGAGCAGGAGTTCCACAGGGCAGCGTCTTGGGCCCCCTTCTGTACCTAATCTTTACAGCTGACGTCCCACTAACAGACAATACGCTAATGGCAACATTCGCCGATGACACAGCATTAATGTCAGCAGATCAAGATCAAAATAC